ATCTGGTCATTTTGTGGAATATTTAACAAATAGAAAATGGCAAAGAACAACAATATTTTTTCCACTCTGATTGGCTCCTGTTAGGCCTACCGATTTTAACTTGAATGTTCATTGCATTTTTCGTAGAGACCTGTGAAAATAATTTCTATTCTCATGGCTTTTTTGTTCTCTGGAAAATTATTTTTGATGATAAATACAGAAACAAGCATAAAAATCAAAANATCTACAATAGTGATAGTAATATTAATAAAATAATAGTCAGTGCAAAGTAGCCTACAAATTCTTTGGTGGGGGGCGGTGAGGGACCTGGATAAAGGCCAGGGGGGCGCTGGCCCGAAAAAGGTTGAGAAACACTGATCTAATTAATACCAAATGTCTGAAGTGACACAAGCTGAATCCAAAACATAAAGTAAGTTCAAATTAAAGTCTAACATATATGGGGTAACCTTCAAGAGCCTGAAAGCATCAACATGTGCTCATGACAGTGTTTTATTTGATTTTTTCACTATTGCAGCTCCAAAGGTTAAGCATTTGCCTTTGCAGACCAGCTTTGCAAGATTGCTGCATACTTCCAAATGCTGCCTGATTTGTTGAGCAAAGGAAAAAGTGTGTTGAGTCACAGTTCGACGTGTGGCCGAGCCTCACCCCGTTCAGACAAACGCGCGTGCCCTGGCTGCAGACAGTCAAGTTCTCCTTGGGGTCTGGTTCGGGGCAGAGCGGGGAGAGGCCGGAGCACACGCTCTCCTTTACACAGTCCGTCTCCTCGTCGCACATCTGACCCAAAGGCTTAAGCTCACAGTTCTGACCGCAGCACAGGCCCTGACTCGGACTGGCGGAGGGAAACGAGAATTTTTCACACACATTCACATTGTCACAAAAATCTTCACACCGTCTTGGACATTTCCACATATTTTCGCTTTAAATTTAAATTTAGGATACTTCAATAGGATTTAAAGGTTAATCGATGTGTAAATAACACTTAAAGAGGGTGACGGAGGATTTGACCTGGCAGATAAGCAGCAAGTACCTGCACACTTTGCCAGGCTTGAGTCGACACTGGACTCCTACGGCCTCTTTAGCACTGTAGCAACAGAGGTCTGTGTCATTGTGACCGACATCACACTCCTCCTCTTTCTCCACGATGTGGTTGCCGCAGATGGGCTCATCGCTGACTGAGGGAGAGAAATGACCTTCAAATTAATCTAAAGCCTGCATGGTGACCACGCCTGACACCGCGTCGGCGTCTCACCCACGAAGCAGTTGTCTTTCTTCTGATGCAGGATGTTGCTGATGTGTTTAACGCTGCAGGTTGAGAACTTGTCGTTGTTTTCTCGCACCTCGTCTGTGGCCTGTGGAAACATCAGGTACCGACCTTTCCCCCCAGAGGAGCCGAGGTTGCCGCAGTTCGAGCCCTCGTCATGCTGAAACACAAACCAAACGACAAAGCCTGTTTTCTGTTTTGTTGTAAATTTCTCTTTAATCGGCTCGTGTCAGAAACAGCAGGCGAAAACAAATCATCTAACCGAAGCTGGAACTATGCAGCTCTGCATTTTTATTGCAGATGGGGGAATGAAGTCCCTGTATTGTTGACCTCAAAATTGTTGTAAGGTCAGAAAAAAATGTTTGCAGCTGTGTGTGGTGAGAGCTGAACTACTTGTTTGGTTATCAGAAGTTTGAAGCGTATTCTGAGCATTTAAGAGTCACATGAAAATATAACTTTTCTCAACAGAAAACAGGAGGGAATGTGATGTTCCCCATGCAGAACAACAAGGACAGAACAGAAGATTCTTCTTTTTTTTTTTTCTTGAAACATTTGGAAAAATCTCATCCTCTCTTGAGCATCAAGCCTAGGCGGGTTCATAAAGACGTCCAATAAACACGGACACATGCTGAGAGGACAAGTCTTTATGTGGCTTTTGTTGAATCTGCTTCTGATTACTGTGATGGATGTTATAAATGGCACTTTTATGACCTCCTCTGCACCAGTCAGAGCCTAAATCTCTGGGTAATAAGAGGGTGGTGTGGCGCAAAAGATGTTTGTGCCTTTTCCTTAAAATAGTTCCTTTGCCTTGTTTCTTTCTGTTTCTGAATTATTTCCCATTATGTGGTTCAACACAAGCACCTAAATCACACTTTTACTGCACTGTGTGGTTCTAGTTTATATTTTCACAGAAATTTAGCTCAGTGTGAGACATAATTGAAAGCAACATTTTTATGGATTTGGGAAAATTATGTTAAGCTGTTAGAAATACCACATTCTAATAAAAATATCTAATCCATTAGCTTTCCTCTGCAGTATGTCTGGCTTTAACACGACTTTACTGCTTCTGTACGTCTTTTTATACAAATGTTTAACAGTAGTGAAAAACACAAGAGATGACAGATAACATTCAGACTCTAAAGTTAAATGCATTATATGTAAAACATACATCTAATACACATAGATCTAAGTCTGTACTAGACATACATCTAATATAGACGTACTCTATATGTCAGTTTGTTCTCTTCTCCAAAGAGTTCATGGTCAAATCTTTGGAAATTAACTATTATTTTAACGTATTAAATGTAATTTTTGAACACGTAAAAAGTTTTCAGATTGTCTTTTTTCCCCATTTTGGTGGTTTCATATTTGATTCTGTAGTTCTTTTGTTTCTTTTGTCACAATAAAACAGATCCGTGCAAAAATGAAGCCTAATGACCTTTGAACCACAAGTTGTCCTTTGCCATCAACCATTACATTAGTTATTGAAGAATAGGGCTTTGAAGAATAAAAATAGACAACTGAAGCAGAAATTAGTTTTTTTTTTTAAAATCCCGTAGACCTATAAAAATACATATATGAATCATAATGAGGATACTGTTCCCTCCGCAAATAACAGTAACGATTTGCAAGTTCGTCTGAAGATGATAGCAGTAAAGTATGACAGTTTATTTACTCAGAATGAAAGAAAAAATCATTGCAGGAAATAAGCATTTTAAAAATATATAGTGTAGCATATTTTATCTGTATTTCACTTTGAGTTAATAAAAATTGATCTGAAATTTTAATTTACAATCTATCACTTCCTGTTTCTCTGGGTACAGGTAAAACCAGAGGTCCACCAATAAATAAATAAATAAATAAATAAATAAATAAATAAATAAATAAATAAATAAATATAAAAGTAATAGTAGCAGTAGTATATATTTAAAATATATATATTTAAAATGTTTTATCAGGATCCTAGTGATTCCCTCCTGGCAAATGTGTTTTTAAATCTCCTGAATGCTATTTTTATCTGTGTTTGGAAAGATTAAGTTTGCTGACTTGATGGTGTGTAAGGCAGAACATTTATGTGCAACCAGCTTTTACTTTAGCAAAGAGTAAATGTGCTGCATGAGGAAAATGACAGCAGGCTCTTAAAGCGATTTAATAATCAGTGTATGTAAGCGACATCAAAGCTCATCTGGTGTCCCTTTCAGACAATCTGATCAATAAAGGCCAAAGTCTCTAAAGTCTATTCCGGTGAACAGGTCGGGTACAATTTGTTCAAGTGCTCTGCAAATACGCACGCAGGTTTAATGGAAACATTTACTTTGAGGAGTGTTAATTACACAATCCACAGCTTCAGGGAAGAGCTTTATGTCGTGGGGTTTTTACTCCCATTCACCACAGATCCACTTAGGCATGTTTGGTACTGTAAGTTATGGAAAAGGGATGAAAAATAAATATTGGTTTTCTTTTCACTTGCAGATTTTCTACAGACAGATTAAAGATCCTCCTAAAACATATTTCTCCCATGGGAGACACATAATTATATCTTATCTAATATTAAATGAGCATTGTTGCCACATTAATAATGCAAAATCTGGGCTGAGAGGAAGGAGAGCTCTAGAAAGAAACAGACGGCATGTGAAGTGTGCAGAAACAAAACCCTGTTAAAGTTATGAATAATGAACCATGAAAGTGGATGAGTAAAACAATGGAAAACACTAAATGAAGGCATTTAAAAAAAACTTTTTAGGATAAATCTTTTTATGCTATCACTAAGAAAAGATTAAGAACAATTAATAAACTGACTATTTTTGCAACAAATATTTGCAGATTAAGGAAAGTCAATCATGAAGGTGACAATATTTTAAAAAAATGCATTTCATACTATATGTGTAACAAAAGTCTAGGATAACATTTAAAACAGGTAAGTTGGTTTTGTATTTGCTAAAGTTTTAAAGTGTTTATGGTATAAACCTAAAGTGCTGATAAACAAATCAGGCTTTTGGAAATGAAACCACTTCACTTACTTAGATAAAACCAGCTGCACAAAACATTGTAAGTACATCATCACTGCGATATTATGTGTGCAATCTTCACGTTAGCGGCGTCATTTCTGGCTAACATATTCCAAGCGTTATCAACTTGTGCTTTACGTGGCTGGACACAACAGCAGCAAATGCTCACAATGGTCACAGATGACATGGCTCAAAATGTGAAAGGTGAGTTTAGGAAACTGAGATGAGAATGAGAGGAAAGAAGGACATAACCTTGATATTCTCATGGCATAATAAATGATATTGTGCAGCCGCAGTGTACACACCTGAGGCTAGCGAGGCAATAAGTTGCAAGACAGGTGGAGTTTTAAAATTAAATCAAGCATGGAGTGTAGTCACCTGGTTATAATCCATGTTGGTAAATTCTCAGTGAACAAACAGATTCATTAACCAAATATCAGAGTGTTGGGCTGGTGATGGGTGTAATGGGAGATGGCAGAACTGACCGGAGAGCCCAGGCTGTGACCCAGTTCATGCGCAAAGGTGAGCTGGACCTGTCGCGGAGGCAGGAACTGTCCGTAGTTCTGAATGGTGATCAGTCCTGTGTTCAGGGTGGCCATGCCGCCGTTACGGAGCGCCGTGTACTTGGAGCATATCCCTCCCCAGTTACCTAATATGAAGAAAAGGAGAAGCAGAGACATAACGTGTGTTTATACACTGGACAAGTGTTTTAACTTAAAACACTTGTCCAGATTTACTTCTAGGTTGAAGGAATACAGAATACAATAATGAATGAGGAACCCCCCCCCCAGCTCTATTTAATGGTTAAAATTAAAGATACAATTAAGAGCTACAGTACATCTTGGGTTTTTCAGGTTTTGAGGAGACCTATATGCAGAGTCATGCATACACAGATAGTGCAAACTCTAAGGCAAACTAAAATTCAGTAAAGACACAGCAAAGAATCACTTTAGGGTCCAAAGTTGTTGGATAAGTGCTTATTTTTGTGCTACTGGAAATACCCTAAGCCAACAATCCTTGTGCTAAAATCCTTCCAGGCCCCGAGCTTCAGGCTACAACTCAGTACATTAAAACATGCAGACCCAGTTTGCCGCCACCCATCTTCCTTCTATTTGAGTTATGCAATGGGTTCAGAAGCCCTCCCTACAACTACAAGCAGCTGGATAAATTCACATGGAACAATGGATGGCATGTGACATTATTGTCAAAAGACCAGCTATAAGATTCACAGCAGCAGACGCTCTGAGTCATTTAATTTCAGCTCACTGTCAGGTTGGACGTTTCTAAGATCCACAAAATACATCAAATTGTGGGATTTTATTCCTGTGGGTTGATGGAAATCCAAAGAAATGTATCTTTTGTAATGACATTAAGTTTGTTTTTATTTTAGCCCCTGTGTGTGCTTCAGGTTGGAGGTCACGTGAGCTTAACATCAGATCTCCTATATAATGTGGTTTACAGTCAATATGATGGCGAGGAGTGCGTTTAGGTATTTAAAGGAAACTGAGTTCACCAGGTGTTACTGTGTGGGAACCAGTTGCAGGTATATGGATTATTTTATTTTACCGGGCACAGTGGAAAGAAGAACGACCTTCAGGAACAGACAGAAATGATTAGAGGTTAAAAAAAACAATAACCTTTTCCCTTTATCGCATGCCATAGAAATAAGATTACCGTTTATGATGTGGAAGAGGTCGACAACAAGAACGCCTCTTGGCATCAAGTCGTGCTCAAACAGTTGAGCTTTGGGAGCTTAACAGAACAAGACAGTGCTTCATTACTTTCCCATCAAGAGCCAAGCATCCGTTGGAGACTCCTTTGGTCACATTTAGCGAGAAATCAGTGTGTGTTTCACTTAAATCCCACTTTTGACCCTGAAACACCCCCCGGATCGAGCATTCAAGGAACTGGGATTCTTAGAAAGAGACTTCTGGTTGCAGATACTGTGGGTTTTGGCTGCTCTGGCAGAGAGGGGCTGCAGCGTATTTTCATCCGCTTCTCTGTCTTTGTCACAGAAAAGAGCCAAAATCTCAGCTCCCTAATATTAGCTCTGATGGTAAACAGTCAGTCAGCTGCTTCACTTGCACTTATCAGTTGAGAACATGCACTGTGAGACTTTAGCAGAGGTGGTAAAACATAAAACAGTTTGCACTCAAATGGTTTAATATGTGCAAACAATGGCAGCGCTTCCTCAGGCACATGTGGAGGAAGTTGGAATCCATAAACAAAACGGTTGACAATAAAACAGACAAAGCAAAACGTCTTACTGATAACATAACATATTTTGAAAACCTCAGCTCTGCTCTGGAAGTCACACTGTAAATAACACAACTGCATCCGGTGGCTTCCCATCACAGCCCTCCTTTGTTTCTGCAGTCCACTGACCTTTTCACGGCAAAATAATTAAAAAGGATTTAAACTACCCTCTCGTTAAGCTAATTTGACCTTTCCAGTGTTTTAAACAAAATACCTAATCCGTCTGGAATGCATCACAGGTCTTGCTCAACTTGAAACTTTCTCTTTGTGTGTTTGATCTCGGCAATGTTGCAATAACTGAACCACAAACAAATCATGGTTTCATTTCGTAATAAGCCACAAAAGGTAGGTTAGTTCAGGCCAGACTCGTTGCCAGTGCTGAAGTAGAAGGCAACCGGACCTTTTCTCGTGTTTCTTGAAACATTTAACCTCTCATCTGAAAGGCTTCTGTAGTTCTGAATGCTGTTGGGAAAAAACAAACTAATAAATTGAAGACAGAACAATCCTGTTGAGGACAAGTGAATCACTGGCCTTGCCCTCTGTTCAGTCCAATATTCGGCTCACTGATGATCCACACATGTCCCTAATGATGCCAGGAGAGAGGCTTTGGTGAGATGTCCCAAGATGCCTGAGGAAATTAAATTAGGCTTAACTGTTTATGTTAGACAGAGGAAACCTGACACTAACTACTCTACGCTTGGGCACTAAAAGATGCTAAAAGATTACGTTAATTAAGACATTTTTCAAATTGCAACTATGTAGCATGTCGGATTGCTAAAACTAATTGAAAGTTGGAAACGTAAGCATCGGAAACTCGCTAAGCAAGAGGTTCCCAATTTGTGGGGCGAGCCCCCAGGGGGGGGCGCCGTGCCATTGCAGGTGGGGGGGGCGGGGTCTGGGTGAAAAAAAAAGAAAGAAACATGAACGCTGTATGCGCTGGGTTTTTACCTTAGAATGGCCAACTCTCTGTTATTCCTATGTCAATTTGATACAGTAGGGTCTTCCGTACTTCCCATATCTTTGTCCTCTGTCACTTTTATCAACAGTTAAAACTGTTTAATACGTTGTTAACATGTCGTAACCTGTTTTTCCGAGCCGCCTTTAAACGGAACATGAGCGCTCGCGCTGGGTTTACACCTGTATGGCAGTGAAGGAGACCTGCTGCTGCTGTGCAGAGCTACAGGTGTGTTAGAATCACGGCAGCAAACCAGCAAAACGCAAAGAACTTTTCACAGTTTTTCTCCAAAACTAACCGACTGAGTTGAGTAAAGCTGTTGGATGCAGGTAATGTTAGCTAAAGGATGACTAGCTAATGTCAATACAGAGCCTTAAGCTTAACAAGTAGCCTGTAGGCTACCGATGTTGTTGTCTATGTCCAGCTACGTACATTCATTTTGCCCCCCAAAAAAGTTAGAGACAGGGAGTCTCTAAGAATCCTCCCCCCCCACACACACACATCGTTCAACCAGACAACTATTTGTAATCATAGGGCGGGCCCAGAAAATGTTTGGAAACCGCTGGGGGTGCCCAGGAGAAAAAGTTTGGGAACCACTGCGCTAAGGAATGGAGGACTGTTGTTGCCGCTTGTGCTGGATTGGACAAGGCGTATTGAAAACAAACACTTCAACAGCTATTTCCAGAGACGCCTGCCATTCTCTATGGGCCGTAAACAAATTTACGCGAATCCACCGCATAGTTTTTACATCACATCTTGCTTCCTGTACATTATGGAGTTCTTCAAGTCGTTAAAATGCACATGACGAGGAAAAACTTCTGCTGTGCAGTACTTGTGTGAACAGGAAACTGAAGACAAAGCTTCCAACTCACTCTGTAAACACTCGCAAATAGTTTCAAGGTCAAACGTGCATGTTGATCTGTGCTGGTCCCAAATTACAAAGAGTGGCATATTACTGTGCAGCCAGAGAAGATGGTTGAACTCGAAAGCTGTCTCTTAACTTGGAACGATGTTTGTGTGAATAAATTGTGTGTTTTTTTTTTATGAATTTCTCTCACACATATGAACTGTATGTAGCGTTAATGCTGTGGCGCTGTTTGGTGTTTCGGGTTGAAGTGTGAACTCGCTTCTGTTTATTACACCTGTCACACTATTTCCTATCTGAATTTAGTTCAAATGCCATTAAACTAAATTAAACTAAGGCGTCTGAAATTTCCTTACAATGATTTTTCTGATATTCATCAGACGTCAAAAAACGGGAGGCCTGCAACACCGCAACACAAAAAAAGACAGCTAGCACTCAATAATAATATGACTTAATGTTTCATTATACTATTAAATTATTTATCCTAAACATCCTCAATATATGTAAATATTAACAATACTGATGGCTGGAACTATTGTGATAACTTGACCAATACATTGGAGCACTCAGGCATTGGAACTGAATTACCATTTGGTTTGTTGATACATAAATCAATAAGTAAATAAATAAATAAAGTAAGACAGGGACATAAGGGATCTCTGTAAATTTAACCCATTCGATCCCAACACACACCCACTCTTCAGAGATGCAGCGCTACAGAAGGAGTGAAAGGAAAAAATGTCCAGAAAATATATATTTTTTTCTAAGCGCCAGATAGCGTGACATTATGGCAGAAGCTGAAACACTCAGAAAGTTACTTCATAATATCATGATGTCATTTTCATCTATGCAGGTAGATGAAGACATGATTCAGCCTCTGTACTGAATCATGAATTCAGAAAGAATGTAATTTTTTTCATATATTTATCTGACATGCATGTTGCAGTGTCATCTCAGTCAAACTGCATTTCTGCTCTACTGGTTTGGGCAGATTTTTTTTCCAGTTCAACCTTGTCTTCCTCTCTTGTAAAAACAATGCATTTGTATATGCTTCCCAACAATTATTTTTATACAGCTGTCTTAAAGATGTCTTCAGTGACAGCGAAGTGCAACCAAAGTGAAATTCCTCGTTTGTGTGCAAAACCTGATTCTGATATCTGTCCAAGTGTGCTTTGAGTTTTCTGTTTTTGCATTTTTAATTTTTTTTTCTATCTTAGCAGTGCACCGAGATCTCCAGGTAAAACATATTCAAAGGAAAGCTTCTGTGTACTTCGGGGGTCTTTGGGTTTATGGTCCTGTGGTTTGACCTTTCTTTACTGCAGACCTCTAACGAACCAGAGTGAGTAAAGAAACAGACTGTGGGTGTATTGGTTTCCGAAGGTCAGACATAATCCACTCATGTGAGGCTGAAAAGTCACAACACTTCAAGTAACACGTTCACTGTGTGTGTAGGTGCGTGCCCACCATGTGAGACGTCTCCATGGCAACCGCACTGTGGAATGCAGCCATCAATCCTCAGTAAGAGGCCTACAAGCTCCATATGACGATCATGTGTGCGTGAGTGTGTGCGTGTGTGTGTGTGTGCGTGCGTGTGTGTAACAGAGGTTTGCTGAACCCTGGTCACATGTCCCTGTGGTGGTCTGCTGCTTCCACGCCCCCCAGTTTGACCAATAGAGAGCTGCATGTGAGATAAAGACAGTAAAAGACAAGGAGGAAGGACCTCCAACCAAAACAACTTCCTCCTGGACAGCAATAATACCACACACGCACACACACGCACACACACACACACACACACACACACACACAGGCAGAGAGTCCCCTCTGCAGAGCTGGCTGATATTACTGGGATTGCCTCATACTTGTTTTTGTTCACTTTACGTGTTTGGGTTCCTGAACTCTTTGAGATCTTGCAGGTACATTTGGGGAACTGGGAGTTCATTTGACAATGATGTTAACGCTACTCTGGAAAACTGTTTGTCTTATATTAGCTGACCTTTACTGACTCTGGTCTTAACTCTAAGTAAACAAAATCTAACTTTAACAAATAATAAGAAATTTCTGCGGATGGAAACAGAAACGGCTAAATGATTTTCATGCAAATCGCAACAGGAGTGCTAATTGTCGGCTCACGTTGTGTTTGCTGGTTTCTGAGTGAAAATCTCTCCAGCAGCAGGATTAAAATGCGACGTGTGTTTTGCCACAGAGAAACAAATATGGCCTTGTTAACTTCACATTGAAACTTTTCCAAATTAATTAAAAGATTTGTTTCACACATAAGTGCAATGATGATTTCTGCTTCAAGTAAGTGACTGACCGACTGAAAAACGACGGATGTTAGAAGAAAAACCCACAACAATTTCCTGAGATGAGCCTGTAAGTCAGAGATAATGATGTGATTTTAGAGATCTGCACAGACTCACACTGAGATTCCCACAGAGAAGCACAACAGAAAGATATGAGTCACTTTATTAAGCTTAAAATTCAGTCTTATTTTTGTCTCACATTTCTGTGTGCTCTGGCTCGAGGTCTTGACACAGTTTTTTATGTTATCAAAACACCATGTGTTTTTGATAAAAGTGATATATATTCCATCCATCCTTTTTTTCTGTGGCTGCTCAAGAGCTGAACACCTGCTGAAAAAGCTAAAGGATTTTGTCAGTAAATAAAGCACCGTTAACAACATTGCCTAAACAAACTTGTTAATGAACTTTCACAAGTGGATGTCGGTTTTGTCCTCACATCAACTAAATAAAGTGCGCGCTTCAACACAAAGCTTATTTTTATGTGCATAAAAGCCCAGAACATCGTGTTCGGGAACTAATGTCGTGCAAGTGCGTCTGTGGTTTGATGTGTCTCTTCTCAAACCCACAATAAATCGTGATTCAACTTCTTATAATTAAATTATAAAATGCTTTTATGCTGAGTCGCTGGTCTGGACTGAGAGCGGTTTAGGTGTTGTCTTTTTAATTTTAACCCAATATAATGTTATGTCATGAGGGAGGACCCTGTGTTATTGTCTAGGACATCATGTTTTAAAATATTATTGTGTATTTGAACTATGAATAGTTTTGCGAAAATGCATAAAATCTGGCCACAAGTTAATGTATTATTAATCCATTTAGACAGTTGATCAGGAAACATCCTTCTTGAAATAGTTTAATCAATCTGAGATGAAAACAACCCTAATAGTAACTATAGTATAAAAGTAACAATTAATCATTGTTTATAACTAAAAGAGCAGAGGAAGTGTCCTATTGCATTAATTTCTATCATACTGTAGGGGTTAAAACATGAGGCCAAAGTGCCAGCTCAAGTGAATGACTTTGCTCGTTATCCCGGCAGTCTGTTATGTTAAATCTCTCTTGAGAAAAGTACATTTTTATATGCGCCTACACAGCAGAGTGGCAGACTTGCCTCGTGTTGCCTCATCATATAACCAAAACACAAATGTTATTTTTAGTGTTTCAGACAGTTCCTGACTCTTTGTGCTACTTTTGCAGCTTACCGGTCTTGCCCTCCCAGGCGAGCCCCAGCACTCCGCTATAGTCTCGGTTAGTGAGCATGTAGGCCAGGCAGAAGTTTCCCCAGTTTTTCTCGGAGAAAAGACTCAACAATTTCTCCGGTCCGATAAACAGAGGATGCAGAGGATCCGTCTTATTCTCTGTCATCATCACCTGGAGAGACAAAGACAGTAAATTCATTGTACAGGGAAGGACAAGAAGTACCAATCACTGAAAGCACTTCTGAGAGAACGTCCCTCAAAATGTACTTTTGTGTTGTAATTAAATTTAAATGCGCATCATAAATAACTTTGACATGTTAGAATTAGAAATGTATGTGCCAGTAAATCATGTTACAGTAGTTCTTTGGAGTTCAAACTCTACAAAATTACAGAAAACTCTCCAACTTACTCTGAGGGATTTGACTTTAAAGTTGATCAGCTTGATTCCATCAAAGTCAACCTTGTTGTAGATGTTGTTCACGGCCCGCATATAAGAGGCAACCTGCAGAAAACAAGTCAACAGTAAGTTACCCACTGGATTTGAGATCCAAAACTGAATAATGTTCCAAGAACCTCTTGGATAATAATTTGATATTGACTGATATCAAAACGACCTTAAATATGTTCCAATTGTAAGTGAGAAAACTTTACTCACGTGCTAATAGCAATAAGCTAACTGCTACTAGCCAAACTCACTAATAATAGATTATAGTACTTTATGCACTTAAACACATGAAGTATTTAGGGAATTGTATTATTATCCAATTATCTATTGCATAGTAATATGTCCACTGAAAGAATTAATCAACTCCCTGATCTACAACGACTCCAAGAGCCAATTTTACTTTTTTTTGATTTATGTGAATGTTGTGCAGATAGTTTCTTGTTCAGAAGTATCAATTTGCAATTTTTTTTTGCATCTCTTATTTTCACACTTTTAACAACTGCTTAAATTTTCTCTCTTTTTCTTTTACTGGCAAAAATGTTTACACTACAGTTCCAGATGTTTACACAGATTGACAGAAGCAGCACGATGGATCGTTCCAAGAGCAAAGATGGAGGACATGAGGCTTTTGATGCTTCCTAAAAGATATTTTGCTTATCTTACGGACCTCTTCATTAGTTATTTAAAGACAGCATAATCACTCTAGGGTCATAAAACAGACCTCTTTATGTAATTCCTAAAGAAAGGTTATCAGCTGAGCATTTTCAGTCTGGCTGGTGCACGTCGTCCACTAGATGCACATGCAAACATGTCATAAGCAAAGGTTTGTCTCTTTGCAAGCAGGATATGTGAGAATAGGAGAGTCTGCTTGGAAATTTCCACCACTTTATAGATCGGCACCTGCAAGCAGGTCAGTAGAAACTGAAAACGGCAGCTTGTTTATTTATACTCCATCATGGTTACCTAACACTCTTCAGTCCTGCCCAACAGGAGTCTGGCTCTGAACCAACAACAACAACAACAACAAAAGTAAAGTGGAAAGAATGCAAAGACGACACGATGAGCTGATGAAAGCGTCAGGAGGAAGCCCTCAGTCTGATCACAGAAAACAGCCGACACCTGACTCACTCTCTGACCGCTTTCACTGCAACGCACCGTATCTAAAATGACGTATTTGATAAACTGTTGAGGTTTCAAGAGAACGACCCTGATTCAGATTAAAATTTAGATAGCAATAAATGTCTGCTTCATTCAACATTCACTTTACCATTGGTGTGGTGTAGATTTTCCCCAAAACATATAACTTTAATGTTACTATTATAACCTTTGTCTAATAAAAGTTTAGCTTCATTATGGAAATACCAAATTTTTGGCAATACATTTTTTTATATATGTATATATATATTTTTTTAAATATTTAAAGTTAGGTTGCGCTGTCCACGCAACCCAACTCCATACATCCATACAACCATACATCTTTGAAAAGCAGAAGCGGAGCCTTCTGCACACCCAACAAGAATGCAGCAAATGATTTCTGGATTGTAAGTCAAGAACAAAATACTTGTTTTTTCCAGAAGCCATAAATGATCTGGAGCTTTGCTTGGGTTGCTGGGTGAGGGGCAGTCCCTGCTGATTTGTGACGTTATACTACGGAGGTTTAGCAAAAATCAACTTATTGCCAAAAAAACGGCTGAATGGGTTTTACTTCCTCGGGCTGTTTGTAGAAGCAGAAGAGTCCTAAAAGGAAGTGCAAAAATGTGCAAAATGTGTTGTTTTTTTCCCCTTTTTATAAATAATTAAAACATCCAGTTTCATTTTGTGAGCTCTATTTAACTCTACAAGAACATGGGAAGTCTTTTCAAGTTGAGTCCTGGTGCGCTTTTGACCACATGTTGAACCGTTGTATATCTAAAACTGGAACATTTAATTTTCGGCTACATACAAAATGTGATATTAAGAAATTTGACCTGAGCCACAACAGCTTCAACGGACTTGAACTTCTTGTAGTAGAAGTGGTCGGCGTGGAGGTGGAGCAGGCAGCTGGTCTTCGAGTCGTCAACTTTTCTCCTGGAACGGCTCACTGGTGCCTCATGTGGGATAAAAAGGAACAACATAAAGAACCACAACCATTTGTTTGGGTCTACATTTAGACATTGTAAGACGATGCAGCTTTGGTTTCTGCTCAGATTCAAGTAATAGAAATACTATTTCTGCAGCAAAACCCCAGACTACTCTTCAGATCAAAAGAAATCAAAACCTTTGCCTGTTCTAAGATAAATACTGACAGCGTCAGTATGTGCACCTCTTGGAGTGTAATCAAGTAAAAAAAACAACAAAAAAACATCTGCTCAGGGCATTTCATAACCAAACAGGGGAAATGATCTTCCTCAGCAGGCATGTAGTTAAAAATGGATCCACAGCAAAGTCTCAACATCCACTTTTCACAATAGACGTCGAGGCCCCCCTCCTCTGTTGGTCAAAGGTTAATGATTAGGAGTGAACCCAAGGGGAATATTTGCCCAATGCATGTGGCAGATGTTTTTGGAGTTGTTTTTAACGTCTTGCAACATCGTCAAGGTTGTCTGCAAGGAGCCAGGTTTCTGTTTTGTATCTCACACGCTATTGTGACTCTGTCACAACATCCTGCTGCAGCTACTACCCACATTTTGTTCCCGGTGACTCAACGAGGGTAATAAATGTGACCGAATGAATGGATGTGTGCATAAATCGTGGGTGCAAATGATGAATCTGACACACAAGTGAATTTCCTCCATTATTCATCAATGAGTTGAGAGTTTTTTTTGTTTGTTTGTTTATTAATAGCTTTGAAGAAGGAACTCTTGTCAGTGATGAAACAGAGAAAACACAGAGAGATCCACTTTGTACCTGGTTGAGGTTTCCAGCGAGGGCGTTAAGACGATCTGCATTACAGAATCCACCAGAGCGGGGCATCGCATGTGGAAGAACTGGACGAAACAAAGCGCAGATGTTTAAAGTTGCACACAAAATTGCACGCATTTGGAAATATTTCCTCTCCTCATTCTTCTCACAAATATGCCAGAACAGTAAAGTAAACAGCCTGGAAGGAGACCCTGAACATATTCTTTGAGTTAGCGTTCACAAAACCATGACAAATACATGAGCAGAGATCCAACAAGATGTTAGTGCAGCGAAAACTGTTCATTTTGTGGAGAAAAAACATAAAGAAATAAAACTGTGAATAGGAGCATAGACACACAATATGACCATGTCTTTCACAGCTACAGGCTTATTTGTATTAAAATATGCTGTAAATATTTTTTTCAATTTCTGTCAGCCTTTTGGCATCTTTACTTTTAGTTTAGGATTATGTAAACATTATTTATCTTCAAGTTTATATCAGATCATTTATGTACAACACTCATTGCTGAAAAACAAGTTTATGTGCAGTGGATTAAAATATTTAAAGGAACCAATTAAGCTAACAGTCATGTTTTTAGACTGTAGGAGTAACCAGAGAGAACCCAAAAACGCACTGGGAGAAAATACAAAGTCTGAGCAGAAAGACCTCGGGCCGGGATTAAAACCCAGGATCTGAATGTTTTTTCTAAAACTAACCAAAAAAAAGAAAAAAAAAAGTATATAAACTGGTCAATGAAGCTGCCAAGAGATCAAAAACAAAAGCTGAAGCAGCTGCAGGAAATACTGGTTGTGTTTTACTTATTAAAAGCTTCTTGTGTTCTTCATATGTCTGGAACAGGAAGCAGGATTTTACAACAGAAGCCTTTTCTTCCAAAGAGTGTGTCCAAGCCTGGCTAAAATATCCAAAATCCTTGTGGAAGAATGAATCGTCATCTGATGAAACACCAGAAAGTGTGGCGGTGACAGCATCATAGTCTGGGGTTACCGTTTCTTTAGATAAATTTGAAGTTCTTGTCATCCGAGATCAGGAAAGTTCTAAAGACAAGTTCACTTTGACAGGAAAAGTTACATTTAGTGCAAAGAAAGCTGAAGATATAAGAAGATTTGATTCTAAGCATCACAGTGAGTTAAAACCAAAGCGTTGGAATGCCGAAGCCAAACTAGAACTACATTCAACACAAACTCTGTGGGGTCACAGTTCTTTTGGTCAGTGACCAAAAGAACGAAATTTCAAGCTTACTGTGCCAGAAAGAAGATAGCAGGGTCACATGAGGTACAGCTCTGGAAAAAACATAAATAAATAAACTCTGCTTGCATTTGGTTTTTACAGGCACGTGCAGCTAGCGAGTGAACTTCAAAAATGCTTCACTGGAGCGATTCCCCTTTTCATTCAGACTCAAAATCACTCGACATTCCACAGAAGCAACTGAGAGTTTTATTGGGAAAAATTCATATTTTATACCTTCCAAGACTTTCTCTCTTGGCTTAACAAAAGCAGAATGATGGATGGTATTTTATCTACAACCAGCTTCTTCTTTTCTACAGTCTGTGTCTGCATGAAAAGTACACTGAAGGTAGCGAGTAGCCTCAGCACAGTCCAAAACGTCCACAGAGCCGTTGCCAAGAAAGATTTCTTTTCACTCTGAGTGGTTGTAAATCTTAGGTCCTCAAGCAGACAGTTATCTATTTTTCCTGCTACCTAATGCCCCATTTAGATTCCCCCTCTCACCCTTATAAAAGCAAAGCTAAATAAAAAGATATGCAGAGTTATAAGCAACGTCCATGTTTGATTGACGGTGAAGCTGGAGTTTCACTGAACTTTTTAAATTTCTCATAAACATGTCAGCCTTTAAGATGCCTGGCTGTGAACAAACCGTAGATGTTACTGGCTTTGTTCGCCACGACCCCAGCAGCCAATAAAACACTGAGCCAGCATCCGAGATCACCAGCATCCTTTTGGTTTCGTTTTTCTTTGACCAAAGAGGTCACAAAGTACTGTTTTGATGTCAGCTACCGGGCAAGCTGCTACAGGGGAGAGAAGTGGCTAAAAGTCTCTTAGTCTGCGATGCTGCTGTCCAAATCTGTGCAACAACTAGTTAAGATGGAGACACTGAATTTGAAGCAAATGAGTGAATTCAAAAATGTCATTTTTGTAATATTGATTATATGGATATAAAAATTATTTTCATTAGCTTACTTCTCAATCCAACAGATTACCTTTGAGATTTAGCATGATCGATAACTAGCCAATAAATCCACTTTACATGTTAAAACAGAGGATGTATAAAGTGCGACGAGCACTTAAAAACGCCGAAGGTGAACGTACAGAACTGACACAATAAGGGCAACTGGGTAAAGGTGAGACCCTTTGAGAGGAGACACCTTGATCCCCACATTCTCAGACGGTCAAAAAGTGAACTCCAGCATTATGAAATCCGCACGGCAGCCTGAAGCGGCGGCTCTGACAGATCCCGCTGTGGAGACGCACTACTGCAACACTCTGGAGACTTGTTTCATTTAAAACTGATGCAACCGCGATAAGACTGGAGTCTGAAGAGACATGTCCCGAAGAAAGATTTCACAAAAGTGCAAGAAGTCAAATGATTTTGTAACAGAGTTTATCGGGGTTATGTTCAACGTCTGAGAGGAATCTGCACGTGCAGCAACTTAGAGGAAATTAATAATTTAAGTGTAACATTGTTGAACGCATTCAAGCTGGAATAAATCAGACTTGAAGAAGCTTTAAGGTTTAATGCAAAGAGTTTGTAGAGTCAGTTCAGTCTTCCCGGCCCGATATATTGAGCATAAAACGAGGCATCACATGACTGAATCACGCCATCCTCCTGAAATCCCTCAGCCAACCACAAACCTCACCGTAAGGTCTATGTATGGCCCGAGTGGGGGAGGGGGCTGGATGTGGAGGCCCTAAACGCTGGGTGTCGACACAGAATTGCTTCCAGATCTTTCTTCATGTCCACTTTCATACTCTCTTTTTGTCAGCATGTCCTCCCCTCTTTTCCATGCATCAGGAAAATGTTTGTCTTGCGAAGCCAAACACTTTCAAATAAATCAGATATGTGATCTCTGAAAAGCAAGGAAGCTTGTCTAAACCTGGCCGGGCCGACTGGAGACGCTAATCTGAGATTAATTAAGGAGTCCACTTGTTTCTTTGAAATATAAAAGAAAAAGGATTTCTCTCACATGAGGAATTAGCCACATTTGAGCCTCTGGAGTTGTGTTTGCAGCAGCTGCTGGAAACGATTCCTGCTGAGCAGCGTGGTGCAGAAAGCTGATACCAAAACCTCAAGTCTCAAGACAACTTTGGCCGTGACATCTGAGGAATGCCTCACCAAAGCATTCAGCAAAAAACAGGAATTAACACTCTTATGCAATATTTAAGGGTTATTCAATGCTGATAAAAAAGAAAGCAAAAAAAAACTTTTCCTTGTTGGAGAAAGGGGTTTATTTAATAAGTCTGGATAACCGTTTAAATGACCCATCATTTGATCCACATATACTTCATTACTACCAACATAAGCACCCTGATTTTTAGGAAAACAAGTTTCTGTCTAAGACACTGCTTTCTGTCTGAAATTAATATATATATATTTTTTCTGATAAACACAAATTCACCATGATGGTTAAAAAATTAAATAAGCAAATTTTATAGATGTTGGCTGAGTCGTAGTGTGGAGATTTCCTAAAGCTGCCTTCCAGTTTGTTCAACAGCAGGTCTGCATATCCTTCAACTCTCAGAGTGTGATTTCCCTGTCTTGCCAATGTCTGGCAGAGTGTCGGGAAAAACTCCAGAAACGCTGATAAGATCCTTGTTCTTACAACACAGAGAGGGCAGCGACGTCTGAACCATTTCTCAAGCAGTGAATAGCAAATGGCGTTGAGGAATAGGAAGGTGAAAAGTCTTGGCACAGCTGTTAAAATAAAGAACTGACAGGTTAGTAATGAGTTGGATAAAAGCATTTGTTTTATTTGTTTATTTACAAGCTATTTAAAAAATCGGTTTTATTTTGAAGTGCAAAAGCAGCAGCTTAACGACTACAGCTCTATTCACAAACCTGTACACCATGTCCCCTTTAATTTTGTGTTTTAATGAATTATTTAAGCCACTTTTTAGATTAATTGATTATGAAATGAATTATTTCCCCTTACAAAATTGGTGCATAAATGTGGATTTGCTTTAATCCTCTCATTGCCAAACGGGGCACAATCTTCTCGCATATTTGATCTTTTATCTCATTTGAAACTATATAACTTATTTTAACAAGTTAAATTTATGGCATGCAGCTCATTTTTAAAGCAGTTCTGCATATTTTTTTCAAATAGCTAAGGTTGGAACCAGAAGCTTAAAAGCTATTTATTTGGGGCTCATTTCCCTGTTCGATCACACATTGTGTTAAAGTTTCAACTGTGTAGGCACAGATTCAAAATAAAGTTGAAGAATTTGGAAACAATCTTTATTTGTCACTTCAGCTTCACTTTGAGATTTTAAGCGCAGAGTCAAGCATGTAGCCTCTCTCTATATGTTTATGTTCAACAGGGAAAACTGCAAGGGATTAAAACTTCACTGATCAAAAGCAAATTTTTGATCCCTTTTGTGTAACATCACCATAAGCATGAAGGAGAAAGACTCGTTAATGTCTGTGGTCAAACTGCAATACTGTCGTCTCCTTCATGTTGTGACAAAACATTGATGATATTTGATTAATCAGAGACTTTGTATCTTTGACTTCTGCTCTCATTTATTCTAGATTCACTATTTTCAACACAATTAATCTCAAGACATTATATCAGAGGATTCTTTACTGAGTTGATCAACAGGACTCCTTGTGGTCATAATAAATGTCTAAAATATCTAAAAGAGAGGCTAATTGAGTCAGAGAAAGAGCAATAAAAATATGTTTTTAAATCAGCAAAGGCGATCTGTATGAACCCAGTAAACGTTGCTGGACTTTAGGAATTTTGCTACCAAATGTAGGAAGAACAGGTTTCAGTTAACGGCCTGCTTAATCTCTATTTGGTTTTTTGGATAATAACTTCAAAAAAACACATCTTCCTGCTTAAATTACGTATGTGGTTCCTCTAACTGTACCCTCGTGGTTACTAGCTTTTTTTAAATGTCGATTATGAATTCACACTAAAACAATCTGTCCAGGTATCAGGATACTTTTGCTGCAGCCATTTAATGAACTGCATGACATCCAGCCTCCCTCTGGAGAACAAAAGTTCCTCAATCAAAACCGAGGGCTCCAGACGACAACCGCAGGAAGGAAAAAAAGCACACATTATGTCACCACCTGAAGTCCTAATCAAGCGTTCTCTGTGGAGGCCCTGATTGTCTGCTGTAGTATCACATGGTCAATCTTTCCCAGTTTCCTGCAGATATGCCGGCCTGGGTCTGAGGGAAGGGGATGCCGCCGATGAACCAAAGCTGGGTTTTACTACACCTGGCGTGAAGCCGATGTGGTACGGGTAGAGAGGAAGGCAGATGCAGAGTAGATTGAGGAACAACCGTGGGAGTTTGGGGGGAAAGGGGTTTCTGGCACGGTCCGCACTGCGTTTCCAGTAAAATGCTTTCATAGAGCTCAGGTTATGCTAACGCAATCATGCAGCCAAAAGAATCGCACGCACGTTCAAGCAGACATGCACTTTTTATATTTTGATGATTCCTAATTGTTTTCATACGGATAAATCACGAGAACAACTGAAAGTTGGATTTAATTTCAGTTTGTTGTGGAAACTGTCTCTAAGGCTGTGAAACCCTGAAGAAGCGCTACTTGTGTCCTTCTTCTCATGTTGCTTTTATTAACTCACATTATACATATTGTTCCTTCTTCCTCTTTATAGCTACTTCTGAAATCTCATAGCCTCCACCTCATTCAATAATCCCAACATTTACAGCTTATCTTTTCTTTGGCTGGCGTCCAAGTTGGAGAGAACCTCAAAACCCATTCAGAGCCCTCCACAGGCACTGTTGACACTCTGTAGCTCCTCATACTGCCCAGTTCACTGACCTCTAGTAGCGCGAGTTGAACTGGAGCTAGAGGATGCAAGCACTAAACCAAGAACTAAACCAATATTCACCATTTTACACAATGTGTCAAATAAGATTCTGAGAAAACAAGATGAAGAGCTCACAAAAGGTCAAAACATTAAAAGATCTCGCATAGCGTGGGGAAAATGTGCTTTGGTCTGCTTATTTTTTTTTTCAATGAGACAGTGAAGAATGCAGCAGATCATAAATTACGTTTAATGTAGCAAAGAGTTTCTCTTTGCACACTTTCCCATCATCTGCAGAGCGTCTGGACAGCAGCTTGGGCGTCATTTGGACACATTCTCCCTCCAGATACACATTGATCAGTCCTGGATGCTGAGTGATCGACGCTGCAGAGCCATTTGGAGCCTGAAGCATCTTTAAACGATTTATGCTTGAATAAAATCAGCCTTACCTAAATCCTCTTCATGGTAGATGATGGAGTGGTGATCTGTCAGGCTGTCATATCTGTGCAGAGGCTCTATGTGGTAAGTGCCACTCTCTGTGTGGATGGTTCCCTCAAACTGTCCCTGTAATACAGAGCCGTGGCAGGATGACCCATACTCGCCTGTAAGACAGAGTAACGGGCGATAACAAGGCAGCATCAGAGAAATGGTGAGAGGTAGCAGACATGTAGGCTGATTTCATGAGTTTAATTTCACAAAGCAAATAGTTGAGATAGGACTTTGTATGTATTGCGTACTTTATGTTAGTAAGTAACTGTTAACTTCTGCAACCAGATCTTTCATCTAAGCAATAAAATGAGTTCAGTGGAGGAGGACTGCATTAAGCATCAACTCAGTGCCACTGACTTTAATGTCTCTCTCTGGTCTGATCACAGGACCAAGAGCATTTGTGATTCAAATATTTCTCCTGTTACTTTCTTCATTTCCACTTCACATTTGTGCAGCAGCTGCTGAAAATTACATCCATTAGAAAAAGAATTGAGTCATTCATGTGAACTGTCCTGCATTTAGGGTCAGGTAAACATTTTGCAGGCTTCATATCCGACTAACCTTCAACTGTTCCTGAGTATAAGTGGGACAGATCGACTGATGTTGGGCCTTTTTCATCGACCAGCGTGAATTCTTCGGAAAACCCGGCAGAGTCCTGCTTCAAAAGCAGGCGGAATGCTCTGATAACAACAAAAACACGAAAGGTTCGCAGATGTGGTCAAAGTCTTGTAGCAACATCAAGGATGCAAATCGGTGAGCAGCTGGGAAAAAAGGGAAAATAATAATAACTGCATCTCTTGATGTAAAAAAAATGTAGACTGTTTACTTTGTCTTCTTTTTCAGAGCAAGATCCTAAAGAGATGCTTTCCTGGATGTTAGTTGCCATTTTAGTCATTCAAAATTTTGGCTCATCGTACAAAATCCCAAAACTTCAGACAGAGCAGGAAAGTTTCCTTTATGCAACTCACATCTGGAATGTGTTGCAACAAAGCTTTGAACTTTGTTTATATCAATGGGTTTCATTGTCAGATTCAGTTTTCAGTGACTAATCTTAATCACTGAAAGTGTTTTTGTCTTGATCTTCAATTGTTAAGTCTCTCTGTGTTCTGGTGTATAGGATGTGCCTCAATGCCATTGAAAACTAAAGTTCTCCCTCTGCCTCTATCCATAGGGTCTCCTGGTTGAGACACACAGGACACACCACCGTCCACACACAGTCGTACTGAATGGAGAGACACATTAACCCAACAGTAACGTTTTTGGATTGTGGGAGTATCTGGAGAGAAGACCATGGATGGGGAGCTGATGGGAACTCCATGCAGAAGGACCTCCTTTCTGCAAGGCAAAAGTGATACCGACTGCACCACCGTGCAGCCCAGATGAAATAACAAATAAAAAATAAAGTAAAATTAAATGGAGTTTTACCGATTAAAAGCGGTAAAATCCAAATCCAGTGTATATCCCTGAGGCTGCGTAGCTCTCCTGGCTCTTAAGTGCTTCCTGTGGAGATCTCCTCTGTCATACGATAAGACTTCATAATGCTTTATAAAAGGACTGATCCCAACACCTGGAGGGAAAAATAGGAAGAAAAAAAATCTGAATTTACATGTATCATCAAGCTGGAAACTTTTTGGAAAATAATATTTATGTCAGTCTTGAAACTAATCTCCCAGACAGATTTGTTTTTAGTCAAATCTGTCTGGTACGCTCAAAATAGTTGGTACGCTCCTCTCCGTGTTGTTATGGTGGTGGCTTAATGGAGGTATTCTTACAACAAATCGTTAAATAAGTGTGCACACGCCATGGATCCTAGCTAAGCTGGTTAAGCACCGTCTGCGCTGTTGACAGGTTTTGCATGTGTTTCTGTGTTTTTTTTTCTTCCTGCATTCCTGCAAGGACGCGTTGCGACAAGTCCAGGGCCAGAAGAGGCCAGTCAGCAAGAGTTGCCGCAAAAACAATAATTTCACAATGGACACAAACAGAGGCAGATGGACGCAAGTAACAACTTCACTTATTCAAGATAAAGTGTGAGGTGAAACCCTCAATCAGACAAACACACAAATCTCTACATTCCCTACCTGCAATCCATTCATGGCAGCTGACCAACAGCAGCATCAGCCAGTAGTGTTGGACCGCCATATTTCTCCTTAATAAAGTGCTTTTATCTTCTTTCTTTTTTGCATCATTTTTTTCCTCTTCCTCTCCAATTGGTCCCTGCCTTTCTTTCTCATTCCTTTACCCCTGTCTTCTCTGTTCAACACTCTCGTACCTGTGGTCTTACTCTGCTGGAATGTGTCTGGATAGGAGCTTCAAGCCGCAACCAAGCTTGATGCAATGAACAATTATGCTGTGGATGGGCATACTCAGACTTGTTTCTCTGCATGTTACACAGTCATGGGAATTTTTTTTTAAAATTAACTTGGAGGAACGCCTTCAAAGAAACAGAAGATAGTAGGAGATTAGACGAAACTATTGTCATTGAATTTTATCTTTCCTTTTATGCTGGCAAATCTCAAAATGTTTTTATGAGAGTCAAATTACCTATCCAGTAAATTTTGTTTTATGCGTCCTTGTTCCGAATAGTCCGAACACACACACACACACACACACACACACACACACACACACACACACACACACACACACACACACACAGAGAGATCTATAAAATTTACAAAAAGAACATTTTTATGTCCCCATGTTGTGTTTGTCTTATTTCTGTGATCACCTGACTATGTGGTTCGATGCACTACGGTCAGTCTATGAGTGCCCCCAAGTGGTCAGATATTTATTTTTTTCAATTATTACAAAGGTTTGTCACTTTCCTGCGGAGTGAACCGCTTTTAAGCAAACAGCATGCTGAGGTGAGATAATTTTTATCAATGCAGACAGAGTGCCTAACGTAGCATGTGATGAGAAGAAGTTATCAGATTATTTCTACACTTGGAAAACCATCTATGTACATTTATTAGTGGGGTTGTGTGCGGAGAGCATAGAACATTTTGTTTCTGTTGTGTTCAAACAAACTCCGGCAGACTGAGTTGATGCTCAAATTACATATGCTTCATCAGAGGTCTTGTTGACTTAAAGCCTTGTTTCATCATTCAAGTGCCAGCAAATACACACTAGAGAAAGAGGTAAAATATAAATGTTGGATTCAAAGTTTTATATTTTTACTCGTCCAGAAAGATATTGACCAGTCATCACCACCACCATTCAGAAACTTTATATTCCAAAATATCAGGCCCTACCCTTCAGATGTTTGTTATCCTTAAACATCTCATAACTGACTGACTTCTGTTGTCACGAGAAACATCACTAGGACACATCTATGACTTCATAGCAAGTACAAACATGCCTTTATTTTTAATCCAATAAAGAAAGTGGTGGTTACATTAGAAATGTCAAAAGCTAAATATTGTGAGTTATTTTTCCCCTATAAACTGTCTTACGCAAAAATGCCTCCCACTTGTCTGATTAATAACTGAGAAATTTTACAAAAAGTGCTTGTAAATGTAATAAGGAAGTGCTATTTTGGGTTATTGACACTATGTGAAAGGTGTTGCCTTATTTTAAACTGAGCGTCATGGTTTTGGATAAAAATGTAACAATATCCTAAAAGGAGGAACTTTGACATCAGTTGACAGAAGAAGGAAGTCAAGGAAAAAGTAAGACAAAGGTTTTTGACCTCGAATAAATGAAACCGTTTTTCATTCTGCCAGAAAACACAACAGATGTTTTACAGCAACGGGAAGAGCATTGAATATTGCGTTCAAAAAAATAAAATGTATGTTTGTTCTGCTCTGGGACATGTGTTGTCGCACATAGGTGTAAGATCAGCATTATATCTCAACATTTATAGAAGGAGACCGTTGTCAAATATTTCCTTTGTCTCGCTTTACTGTCTCAGTGTTGCAGACGTTTATCTCACATATCATGCTAAATATTTTTGATGTTTCTGAAACGATGCTTTGTGTGACATGGGCTCCTTTCTGTTGTGTTTATGTGAGGGTGGAAATGTGTCAGATCTAGTTTCCCACATGAAATGAATTCTTCACTGAAAGGCAGTAAATTGCAGCGGCTTGCAATGTAAAATCATCAACACCACAGGCAGCTGAGCTGGACGGTCTTCAAAAACACAACTCCTGTGTCAAAACAAAAAGAAAAAAAAGAGATGAGATCTTCAAAGACTAAGAACGTCTGATGATGATGTTTATCACACAATGTGCAAAAAAACTTCCTTGGATATTACATGTTTTCTTGAGAACTGAACAAAGCAGGGTTTTGATGAAGGGTTATTGATGTTTCCTGCCAAATTAGGCCATAAATAAACAGACAAGTTAGGATTTCAGTCTAAGCTTATAGTTTCACATCTTGAAATTGAGATGATTGAAGGATATAGACACACCTTTGCAGCTTCCACTCTTGTATAAGCCCTAAAAAGCTCTTGATGTGACTTGACATTAGGTTTTTTCTAAGTGCTCACGCCGTCCCCTAAAGAATGACGCCCTGAGCAGGGAGTCATATCAAAACAAAACAACTATTAACTCTTGTTGAATACAATATTTTGTTATTGAAGCAATCTGGGGCTCAAGCAGCAGACAGATTCTCTTCCACCAAACAATTTGCAGGATTTTTTATTCCCTCGGAGATTTACTTGCAATTAATAATTACCTGATCAAATGAGGAATATGTACCAGATTAGAAAAGCTAGAGTATTTATAAACTCGCTAAAAAATTTCATTACACTGTTTACCTTAAAGATCACAAGTCGGCCCAGACAAAAAATGTGTGAAGCACAACTAAAATTAACCAGAAAAGTTTTAAAGATCAAGGTCAAAGTTTGTTTTAAAAAAAAAGCTCTAAATCTTTGGAACAAAATTGTAGCTCTGTTCATAATACAGCCTAATGTTAAGTTATGATGAAATCTTGTTTTCCATTTTCACACAATTGAAATTTTTGTTAGCCGGTTGAATGGACTTGGCATGTTTTGGATCACAAATAAAGTTATGCAACATCCACATCTACAAAGCTACTATTTTCGTACTGTATCAACAAAGGCTGGAGTCCAACCCAGACATATCAACCTCATAACAGATTTAAAACTTGAGACAAGATGTTGGCAGCTGAGAACTTCTACATACATCATAAGACACCTCTCACTTTATAGGGTCAGTGTTTTACAGCGTGGTTTAGAGTTTAACCTCCCCCACCCTTTAATCATTTACTGACAACCCCCCCCCAAAAAAAAAAAAAAAAACCCCTCCTTCTTCAATCTGATTGGCCAAGAAGGAATCACCCGGATCCAGGCCATGTCATCGCACACTCAAACACACCCACAGCCACACATTTACCCAGCTGCAACCCCCCACACACACAATCACAATGATGTAAAAATATGATTCTATATTTTAGCATTAAGTGGTTTCATGTGACCTTTTGGAAAAAGGAAATGCATCTCATCATTCATGCTTTTTTTTCTTGCTCCACTGATGAACAATTACAAGTTTGTTTTCAGTTATCTACAAGGAACACCTGCAAAATATCATTAAAACTTTAACCTTAATATCTGTATTTCCGGACAGAAGGGTGACTGAAGCTCAAGGTTTGTTTTAGGAGTTGTGATTTTGTCTCAGGCTGAAAAAAATACTTCACTCTTTGCACACATTGTAGATTTTTATACAAGTTACAAAATTAAATCCTTGATACATCTGAAGCATTTTCATGTGCGATTTATCAGTCGAAATTTTTTCATACATGCCTTGGCGTCATCTCATGTTACTTTTTGGCAAATACATATTTACCAGCAAAGAAAAACATCTCTGTAATTGATCCTGTCATCTCTGGGAACCAGTCCATGTATATATTTTCTGCTAAAAAAAAAACAAAAAAAACATGCTGTTGTCTCCTCCTCTCATTCTGCGGGTGGTAAAATTCTCTTGAGGTTTTCACATCTACTTGCGGATATTTTTCTGTGTTATTTATTTTTTTATTATTTTTGGTTTCTTTTGAGGCTAATTCAAGCCAGCACCACTCATGTCATCTAATCTAACTTTCCAAATGTCTGGTATTTGGAGCCACACAAAGATCATGGGATAATTAGTGCGACCTAAGCTAGTTTCTTTCTGCTTCTCTGGGAGTTCACAGGTTATGGGAATTATCAAATCAAATCGTTCTGCTAACACAGCTAAGTGTTAGCCCCTTCACAGACCTGACCTACTTTACACAGGGTCAAGCCTTTCCCTTCTTTTGTATGTGAGCACAGCACAATATCCACCCTGTGGCACACTCATAATGAGCACATTATAGCCAAGGCTTTGACACAGATCTGCCATCCGTCTCTGTCTGCACATCAGCTGATTTCTTTGCTTGGGAGCGTGACAGTCATAGTGTGATATTTTACATAATTGTCAGATAATATTACATGCTAAGGTATTTCAAAGTTACAACAGCTGACCTTCCAAAACTGGCAAGTCTTTAAAAGAACACTTTAATTCATTTTAAATCTTTAGTTTTTGGGAAATTTAAAGGTGAAGTATTTTCATAGCATGATTTTCCAACATACAAAACACGTTATTTTTGTTCTGGAGCACAGCAGGTGTGGAACTAGATTATGATGCAATGCTGCCCCCTAGAGGGAGAAGACGCAAATAAAGCAACAGCAACAAAACACTTGATCCAGGTTGTGTATTTTTTTCTGAAATTTTAGTTTCTTAGGTCAACAATGATTACTTTTTAAAAGCTATTTTTAAAATCCATTAGCCAGACTCATATGTAAAATGAGTGAAATTAATTTTAAGTTTAAATGAAATTCAGTTTATGTTTAATTTTAAGTTTAAGTTGTAGTTTCTCATACACAGAAATATTTGTTGTACATTTTCGATGCAAATTATTATTTAATCATGATAAAATATACCACACCCAAAAACTTCCATTCAATTAAGCCTCTGGTGATGTTACAATTATAAAACGTTTTTGTCTTTACTTCATCAAATACAACATTTTTTGATTCACAAGTCCTAGTGCTGTTAATACGGAATGAGTGAAATGAATTAATGGGGCCACTTTATAAATAATGTGTTTTGAATTTTAAGACTTTAGGTAAAATATCAAGTCTTTTCAAGTAAACAGCTTCAAGTCAAGTCAAGTCCCAAGTCAATGGTGTGCAAGTCAAAGTCAAGTCCGAGTCTTTGAGCATTTTTTCAAGTCAAGTCTCAAGTCGTGATTTTAATGACTTGAGTTCAAGTCATGTGACTCTAGTCCCCACCTCTGGAGGGATCACCGACAGACCCCCCCACAATGTCATGTCTGTGTGTGCTCTG